TAAAATTTAATACGGATTTGATTGCTTCGAATATTTTGAATTTAAAATTGTTGAAACTACGGTAATCTGGCTTAATATCGTCGCATAACGCAAGCTCAAAGGACAAAGAACCAGTTGACACGCCGAACTTTTGGCTGACGGTTGGCTGTCGATGGCATGGTCGAAATATATATTTAAAATTGTTGTGTGAAACATGTATTTTCATATATTAAAAGTAGTTGTTAAGTAGTGATAAGAGACAATATAATTCTCAACATTTATTTATTCAGAAATATATTCAAAGTAATGTGCGATGTGCGCTTTTCAAGGTGTTTTGTAAATCACTGGTTCAAATTGCGATGAAGCCAATATCAAAATAATGTATTAGAAATGGGGACTGTTATTTTAGCAGTTATTTTAATAGCATGTACAAGTAAAGCAGCACAGTGAAGTGTATTTTAGTTACGTGTGTATCGAAAAAGAGAACTGTTACAGTTACATCGATCTGTCATAAGTAATAACTTTTTTTAATGTTGAGTAAGTTTTTTCTTTTAATTTATTTTGTGTAATAATATCATAATCTTAAAAATGTAATGCATCTCTACAATCTCCGCCAAACTCTTCAGGTGGTGTGATTTTATGACTTATTTTTAAGAATATACTTTCTTGGCCATATGGCAACATATCGTATCGAATTGCCTGAGATCCGGGCTTGATCCGGGTAATTGGATGTAGTTGACGATATCTGCCGGCAGTTCTCAAAATGTTGCTATTATTTTTTTTTAAATTTCAAAGTTAAATAACGCGAATATTTTCAATTTATTTTAAAATGGCAAGAGAAAATATGTTTCTTTTGACCAGATCTACCACCCCTTAATATACTTGCGTTTATTTCTGGGACACCCTGTAGGGAAGATAGACGAAAATTAATATCGGTGTTCGGAGCTGAATTTTTATCAAAAACATGATGGTGAAAACCGTCCATCGATATCTGTTAATATTTCGGAGTTACGGGATATTTTTTAAAAATGTGTATTTTTAACAAATCGCTGTCACTTTTTTGCTATGGAAAATTTTGTATTTTTTTAAACGAATTTCCAAAGCACACTTTTACGTAGAATTTAATAGTTTAGGTATATATTTTTTTAAGAAATTAAATTTCTATATTAGCAGTTAAGTGGCAAGAATCCTTATATAATTTTATTACATACTATTAATGTGAATATAATATACAGGGTGAGCCGGAATTGTATTCGGAAAACTTCGTTAGCATACATATACATACATACATACTGTCATTACTCGCTGACGAGTATCTGATACGCATCAGAAGATGGTCACGCAAGGCGTTTTCTTTCATGAGCTTTTATGTTAGCAAATTCTTCAGATAAAATTAAGTGAAAAAGTTACATTCATGTCCTAAAATGATTTGTTTTGGAGGTACGGGGTGTAGAACTTCTGAACTATAGTCAATATTTAGATGAAAATTAGTGTCTGAGTATTTTTTGGCATGAGACACTTGATTTCGATGTCAATATGACTCCAACTTGAAGGAGGCGCCACCTACATGTTTTTTAAATGGTTTGAAGTGTAATAACTTTTCATCCGTCTCTGTATAAAACTAACTAGGTCGTAAAATGCTTCGTTTCGGAGCTACAGCGTGTACCAGTTTCATTTTTATTTTATTTTCTAAATAATTTCTGAACTAGCGTCCATATCTTGAGAAAAATTGGTGTCTGGGTGTTTTTAGATATGAGAAATCCGACTTTGATACTCGTATGACTCC